AGATAGGTGGATTGTATGTAGATCCGTACAGACTTGCACTTGGCTCTCCTCATGTCGACAGAAGATCGCTTTAGCATGGGCAGTGTCGTGGCTGTTGTTGTGATAACTAAGAGCCCTTATATACAGTACTAAACCAGACACGAACACATTTTCAAGCATCAACTCGTCGGCTTTTACAGAGCTAGAAGCGAATATATCCAAATCCCGCAAAATGTCAAGACATTATTAGAACACAACTAACTAACTGATCAACCATCGTCGTATGCCAAAATGATCAAATAAAATCCCCACAATGGAGAGAAGTTAATTGCCTATGCCGGGGCCAACTGTCAGCCTGCTGTACGGCCAAAAAAAGAACCCCCCCGGACGCTCTTGGCGGTCGAACACAGCCAACAACCCAATGGTAACCAGCGCCTGTCACGGGCGGTAATCGCGATGTCAAGCTAAGGTAGGCAGTGAGAGGAGATATGGGCGGCTGCGGCTCAGCAAATGGTTTTTTTTTGTTTTTTGTCATCATCCCAAGTTTTCCAATAGAAAATCTCCTTTCTAGGATTTTCTTCAAGGTTTCACTCTCTCTCTTTTTATTTTTTTCTGTTGCTTCTTCTCCCGCTTCTTCATCCCCTTCATTGATTCGTTCGCTCGTTTTGTTACTCGTGTTTGCATGGTTATCTAGGTAACTACACCGAACCTACGTACCTACCTCTCGGATGCTGTCATCGTCACAATAGTGCAGTAGGGCCGCAAGAATAAAATCGCAATTCCAATCGACATTATGGCCAAGCATGACTACCCGTACAAGAAGAAAGTCAACGTAACCGCGTGGGTGATTCAAGGCATCGCCTGCATAGTGCTCATAGCAGCATCGGTGTGGGCGTTGTGGGTTGTGCACAGGTCGGATCGATATGCAAAATACTCGACGCTTTTCGTGTATGTACTTTTACCTGAGGCCATCATCCCGAAGATTCCGGATAGTAGGAAGCAAATCAATCAATCAATCAATCAATACCTACCTAATAGGAGTTCGAAAATAAATATATGTATATGCTGACCGTTGGATTGGAAAAGCATCGCCGCCGGCCTCCAAATCGGCATCACGGCCACGAACATCGTCATGAATCTCATCGAGATCATCTTGATTGCGAAGAAGCGAATGCCGCCGTGGCTGTATCTTTCTAGCGCCTGCATCAAAACGACCGTCTGGGGAGTTGTCTTCGTTCTGGATGCGATTGCGATGAACGTCGTCGGAGCGGTGGTAACTTTGGCTTTACTGTACGTGTAGCGCGTGCTAAGAATCGCCCGGCCGGCCCAGATTCGATGAACGAACGGCCCAGGCGCTGCTGCAATTTCGACTACCTAACGTATAAGTCTAGCGCATATCCATAGCATAGCTGACACGAGTAAACCAGATTAACCTCGATACTCCAGCTCACCCACGGAGCCGTCCTAGTCCACCGCAAGCGACGAGGCACCCTGAAAGGCGGCAGCTACGCCAGGGCCGAGAACCCGACGATGGGGTTCATGGAGGAGGGCGTGTACGACGGCGGCGGCGGCGGCCTGCCGGAGGACGGCGCCTTCTACCGCCAGCCGAACCGCAGCACCGAGTACAAGTCCCCCGTGCACTCGCCCATGCCGCCGTCGTCACCCTCTCTTCCGCAGTACGGGTACTCGGCCACCGCCTACGCGCCCGCCAACTCGTACGAGCTCGACAGCCGCGCTCGCAACTTTTAGAGCGGGTTGAGTGTTACGGGGGGTGGTGGTAGCAGCAGCTACGAGCACGGGGCTGCTGGCAGTGGGAAATACATGCCTGCTGCTGATGTTATGGGATGTGTTATCTGATTGCTAGTCAGGGAGTGGGAAAGTGTTTTGTTTTGCTTTGTCGGATCCCGAGGCCTACGACACAGCCACTGTTCCTACTGCTGCTGCTGCTGCTGTGATACCCCTCCGCAGATACGAGCGGTTGGTTGGTTGCGTGAACATCGAACAAATAATATCGCTTACGAAGAGCATCGATAGAGAATTGAATTTTTTTTTATCAGAAAGTATACTACTACACCTTGAACTTGGATATGCACGTCGTCGGAGTGAAGTCCTATCCAAATATCCCACGATCATGGTTGGTTTGTACCTGACAACGGTTCAGCTGTACAGGGATTAATCGCAAAGCTTCCCCAGGGGAATTTGTTTGATTTATATACATAGCCCAATACCACTTCGACGCGCAATTGCCGTGCTATTACGTAGTCGGAACCACCCAAGCTGGATACACCGACGAACGTCGGAATTCGGCAAAATCCATGGGCTCGGGTGGCCCAGGCCTATGGGGCACCGTGATTAGGGTACCATTCCATTCGAAACATACATGTAGGAAGATGGCGTCCGTCCCTTGCTTGAATACGGCGCGTCTGTTAGCTATCACAGGACATGTACTATGTACCTTCTAACCCTGATGATTTATTTGCTAGACTTTCAGATGCTATCCCCAATGGCGGGAATTATAGGAAATGAGAGCATAGCCACCAGCCACCTGTATTGGATCTGACGAGCCTGCCCAATTGAAGCTAGACCTGTGTAGTTACCTACCGACGAGACATTTCCAATAGCCTGTTGGTCTTCAATGCATGGATCTAGACTCCCAAAGAGCAGCCCTTTGAAACGTAGATTAATATGTATGAAGACAAGCGCTTAGATACTATATTTAATCGGACTAACCGACTGATAAGTCATATCTCAGCTCAATTGGGATTGATCATGTAGGTACCAAAGCTGGAATCAATGTCTGGCAAAAGGTACCTACATGTAGGTAAGCGCAACAACAATTCCCGTACGATACGGGATGCCGTGGGGAAATGATTGGTTCCGCGAGAGTTGCAACCCCATCCAGTTGCGGCATCATGCATCCGAGCACAAGGAGCTGGCGCTTTCCACGGTACATACGATGATCTATCGGATTGGACGAGAGTATATTTGGTAGTTTTTGGTTAGGTTGGTCGTCCAGTGCTTACGATCATGATCTGATACCCAATTCCACGTACCTAGTGTGTCGTTATGTCACAGAAGAGCGTGGCTTTCGTGGGGAAGATCTTCAATGGAATGGGTCCCAACCACTTGTGTGAAGTTATGTACAAGCTTTCGGGGCTTGCGACATGCAGATAGCGTCGCCGTAGCGTTGTTTCCAATCAAGGCATGGGTCCCATACACTCGTAATCCTGATTGTTCAACGAAGGGGTCCTGGGAGGGAGGGGTCTGGCCCTAGTCAGATAGAATACTTGTACAACCCCTGGGGGTAAGTTGTCGTGGTCGACGGACGTAAGATAATATGTAGGTACTGAGTTGGACACATTATGCCGTTATATCCGCCAATTCCCTGATAGAGCGATCCTCCCTCCCAATGGGTAAATGGTAGACATTTATAAAGTGATACTCTTGACCGCTCTTAGTTTCGGACCCTATTTCTCATCGTCATAGTCGCCCATTTTCTTGAAGCCGTCATTCTCTACCATCGATACCCCCAAAGCACAATCTTTTCGTCTCGAAAGACCTCACAGCAATCAAAATGCCTTCTCCTCAAGAACCCCAGCAGCAAGCTCCCATGGAGATGGCCAACACCGACGGTGGTGTCGTTACGCAACAGCCTGTAAGTATTGTCCGTCCTGAGATTTTTTCTTGTGTTGTACCCAAAAACATACAAGTCCAATTGACACCAACGGTATGAACAACAGACATCCGAACCCCAACCCGATGTCAATCTGCGTGGTGGCGAGGAAGCCGGATGCGAAATCTGCTGTGGTCTCTGCGCTTGCCAGGAGGGTTGCTGCTAAAGCAGATTCCCTTTCCTCCTCTTCATCCCTCTCGGTAACCCGACTACCCCAACTCCAATCCCCCATCGGACTGGGAATTTCCCGCAATCAATGCTGTGGAACGTGCAGCGTCGACGTATCGCAAAAACCAAACAACCGACTCGCTTGTACCCCGCATGGATTTTATCACGGGGACGCACATGTCAGCAAGGAGGCCTCTGGTTATACCACCGTATTCGGGATAGATTCGATGACCGGGTAGATATCTATTTGTTTGTTTCCTGTAGCAAGCAGTGAGCGATTCTTACCTTGTCGTAGCGAGGATTACATTTTGTCAATAGAAGTCTTCCAGCGAAGTGTCATGATTGCTGTTATCGAACAATGCTGAATGAGACACCAAGTCTTTCCCCGTTTGTCGCGCATTACGTATTTCCGGCGTTACAAGTGTGAAGTGGTGCTAAGAGAGCAAGTCCGAGTCAAAACCGTCGTGTTCCCGGGCAGTTGCGCCGTAGAATCATACTTCAAGACCTATCCCCTCGACGAGGAAAGACCACCTCGATGATATAAAAGAGTGAAAGTTCAACCTTCTGTTCTATTTCGGGGTCCAACTTGTCGAAATAAGCATTTGCCTCAGTCTTGGCGATCTCTTGGCGGCGCGTGGTCTCAAAGTGCTGTCAAACGGGGACCCTTATTTCACCATCCTACCGTGGAAAAGTAATGCTTTTTTCGCTGATCCCTCCGTCTTGGAAGATGCCATTTTGGTATACCAAATGGGTTGTCGGCGATTCAATTCGCTTAGGGATACAAAACGCCATTTCTCCCCACGTTTTCGCTATTTTAATTAACCTCGCCTAAATAATAGGACGCAGGAACACCATCGCATTTTTTCCGTCTATTGTCTTTGACCAACCTTTGGGATATATACCGTAGTCATTCTATTCGCTTACTCTATCTGTCTAGGTAGGTATATATTAGGCGAGGAAATAAATCACTGCAACTTTTGGCGAGAGATAAACATGACCACCCAGCTGCCTCCGTGCTCAGAGACTCTAGTGAAGCCCTAAACACAGTAAAACCCCACCAAGCCTGTTCTCCAACTTCACACACACAAAATCCATCAAATTAGCAGCCACCATAATATTTAGCCAAGCATACCGGCGTGCATCATCAACCAATCCAAGCCAAGATGAGATCCGGTAATGCGGTTTCCTGGTGTAATGGCTAGCACTGCGGATTCTGACTCTTGAAGAGCATTCCGCCAATCTGGGTTCGATTCCCAGGGAGACCTTGTCTTTTGTTAATTTGACATCCTCGTATGTATGTCTTGTGCGAGTGACATTTTTGCTGTTTTTTATAGTCGCAGTAAGTAGTGTGGATGTGAGAATGGCTCCAATTGTAGGTATTTGCTGCTAAAATAGACTTGATAATGGAGACATGAACAATGTTTAGCAAAACCTAATTTTTATTTTCCTCGGGCTTGCAGATTCACTCACACCTGCCTCAGCTACGGAGAAAACGATGCATAAAATTATAATTTAGATAGATGGGTTTTATATTTCATTTTAGAATCATTTCTTTCGTCTGTAACCACCCTTAGTAAGCGCGATATGCGTACATATAATATACCTAGTCTAAACTGGAACTTATGCCTCTTGAATAAGCTCATAGGGTCGCCAGGTAGAAAATGATGTAGGTTAGATCTGCGCACCCATCAACATGGACTATACCTACTAGATAATGCGTAGAGCATACCCGGGTACTGTACTATGGTATAATATAACGAAGCGCATAGATGTCACCTCTTCTCATTCCCGCTGCGAAAAGTCCCACTGAGCTTATCCCACATCGTCTCCTCGCCCCTCTCCTTGCGCTGCTGTCGCTCTTGCTCCTGCTTCTTCCACAGATCCTGCACGCGCGACGCAACCTCGGCCTTGGCACGCCACTCCGCGCGGATAGCCTGCTCTTCCGTCGGCCGGTCCTCCTCGGGCACTTTCTTTAGCCGCTCTCGCAACAGCTCCCGCTGTTCCTGTGTGAGCTCGTCGTCTTGTATTGGTTTTTGTATTTGCTGTTGTTGCTGTATTCGCTGCCGCTCTGCTGCTGCGGTTGGGAGGCGGGGTATCAACGGTGGGAACTGGGGGATTGGTCGGCCTTCCTCCTTCGCCGCGGTAATCTCGGCTTCTTGTGAGAGCATTCGGTGGTAGAGCGTGTCGGCGTGGAGTTGGATATCTTCTTCTACTTCGGGCGAGCGATCGAGCGTGGATAGGTAGCCTAGAGCTTTTAATAGTCTCTGCATCGTAGCGAAAAGGCACTATTTAGCAATGGAGCAATGGCATCAATAAGTTAGGCAGAGCTCGTTAACTCACAGTTTGTGTCATATAACACTTCTCAAACTTCCTAATCTGCGTGCGACACATGGTCATTCGCTCCGTCACGCTCGGGTTCGTCATGCACTGTCGCCAGTCGACCTGCTCGAGCGCGCAGTTCTCCAGCGCCGCCTTGCCGATCTGGTTCTTGCGCTCCTTGTACCCCTCCAAGACATCCATCAGCTTCTCGTGATCGCTTTTCGTCTCGGCCTCGATCTCCGCCAGGGGCTTGTACGTCTTCCACAGGTGCGCGTATCGTCCATCTTGGAACTGGCTCTCTTTCGGCACCAACGATGTAGAATTCGCTTGCTCCTCTGCTTGTCTCTTTGCTTCCGCGGCAGCTGCTGCTGCTGCTGCCGCCTGCGCCTCTTTCGCTACTTGTTGCTGCTGCGCGGCGCTGTACTTCACGGGGGACTCCCGCTCGAGAAATTCGCGGAGTTTCGGGTCGAGCTTTCGCAACGGGTCGTCGCTGCTTGCGCTCGACGACCAGATACTATCCCACCATCCCATGTCGAATTATCGGATTTAAGGAAATATAATTACAGCCAGCTCCGGAGAGCTATATGCGAGCGGATGAGGGCGGGCGCAGAATGACGAAAAGTTCTTTATCGTTATCGGATCAAATCATGCATTTAAGCGGTATGTTTTATCTAGTGAGGGTCTGCTTCCCCTATTATGATAACGGCCATGAAATTCATCGTTACTCGATCCCCAAGTCGATTGCATGTTATACAGTTTCTACTACCATTCCAATTATCTCTTTACATATGTATTTATTATTTCAAAACTGTGACATAAAAATTAGAAGTATTTTAGTTACCATTTTCTTGTACTACCTAAAACACCTGGAGGAACATGATCACGAGTAGTGTGCTTTATACGTGCATGAATCCTATCAGAACTTGCCAAACACAGATCTCAAGGCATTAAATGTAGGATAAATCAAGTTACATCTCAGATACGAATGAGATATCTTGACATCTACAGGCTCAGACCTGTAACGCTTGTATGGAACACATTTAGCGATATGCTTATGTTATTTTATTTTATCATCATTGCCCCAAACACGGATCGAATCCATTGCCGATACTTTAGACGAGCTTTGTCGACCATGTCGGCTTGGTAAAATCAATTGCTGTTTAAATACATAGGTAGGTACCTAAGGAGGCACCTGTGTGACTTTTAAGGACCCGACAGGTAGCACCGTGGATTCTACGTGAGGAAAAATAGAACAGATGTTGCTTGATGAGAAACATTCTTGTAAAACTTGGAATTTAGAACTATGTGCAACTGCCTCTTCATGTATCGAGTAGGTACCTAGGTATGTACCTATGTACCACTATTGGAAACGCGGTATGGGAAGATGTAGGTATAATTGCTTTTACTCTCACCTGCTATTCTATAAGACCAAGCAATAAGGAGTTGAGAGATGTACTATGTAAACCTATGGTTACTCAAGAAATATCTTTTCCCATTAGCATTCTTTGGCTCGAGTCAGTAGTTTTCAATATAGACGAATGGCTTCCTACTACATGATGACTTTATGGAACTCATCAAGGCATATCTACCTTTAGTCGTGATAAAAAGCTGTTATATGACCTCGAAATAAACCAACGCCATAAAAAGCTTCCATTATTATTTTCATAGTCATTGACCATTGCTTTATACCAGTCTCTGACGCCATGTGTTGGTATAAATAGTGCAAGTAGACATATATGCCCTACTTCATATAATCCTTCTCAACTCGACCAAGGACAAGTGACGTCGTATTTTACCGCACTTCCATGCATAACATCTGTTGGTGGCTTAATGGGAGTACAAATAACTGTTACGTTTTACGTAGCATAAGAGCTTCAGGATTAATTACGAAGGCGTTTGATACATGAAAGTTCTCATGTAAGATCATGTAGCCCGTGTATAATTCCACGAGAATTTCGGGCTACTCTCATCTTGAGTAACTCTCATATCACAAATGCCTCTCACCTTGTTAGGCAGTGCTTGTACAGAACTAACTAAGAGACGAACGCTACCTACTTATACGATTAATAAGACGGCAGTACCCCTTTGAAGGCTATCTATTTAGCAATCCTTTGGACGAAAATACGCTGTCTTGAGTGTAATGAACTTTTGCTTACACGGGACACCATATGTATCGGCCAATCCCATCTAAGGGTCCAACGTCACATGAACTTGACTTGACTACGGCATGTACATATGCCTTGATTGGGAGTACACGGTATATGTATCTAAGGGTTGGCTAAGATGGTAGGTAAACGCTACTATTTGATTGAACGCGTGGCTACGATATTGTAGTCGAACACGGGAATGAATCTTAGTAGTAAATCTTTACGGACGACTACATGGTTTGAATACCTACTTTCACAGCCGGATGAAATACACATCAACGAAAGAACGGGTTGATGGGTCACTGGACAAGACGATTAGTTTGCCGGGAATGGACATCACAGCATTAGAGCAGACAGCTTAGTGTGTGGTCTTAATTGAACAACCAAACGGTTTCGCAAGCTTTTCTTGTTCATAGAGGCATTTACTAACTGCCAGCGGGCCTGCCAAAGCAAAATTACACCGTTGCGGAACGGGCAAAGGTGTGGTATATCCGTTTTTATTTCTCAGAACTGCCGAAGTAGCATCTTTTGTGCCCTGGCAGAATGCCTATGAATCACCCGTTCCGAATCTGAGATCATGAAGAACCATCAAGTAACAACGCCATCGATGCCCAGGAAAGATCCCCAACCTAGAACTTGCTAAACTTCTTGACGGCCTTGCCGGTTCGGGGAAGTACACGAAGGACGTTGAATCGGACCTATTACACCAGAGTCAACATTTAGATATCAAGGCAGGATAGAGAGAACCGCTCGCGACATAGCGCAAACATAGATTGTGGTGACAGGAACAACGTACAGTCTTGCTGAGGGGTCTGCACTGGCCAACTGTGACCTGGTCACCCTCCTCAACACGGAAAGCGGGAGAGACGTGCGCGGCGAGGTTCTTGTGTCGCTTCTCGTATCGGGCGTACTTGGGGACGAACTTGAGGTACTCGCGACGGATGATGATCGTTCGGTGCATCTTGGTAGAGACGACGGTGCCGGTTAGGATACGGCCACGGATGGAGACGAGACCAGTGAAGGGGCACTTCTTGTCTGTGTTGATGCCACAATTAGTTCTTTCGTCCTGCAATTCAACCTTTTTTATCCCTTCAAAAAGCGCGAGCGACGTGCGAAATATGCGATAGTATGCATCCATCGAGCCGATCCGTAAATTCCATCACCAATACATATATCGCTTCGAGTCCATCTTTAATAAATAATCGCGTATTTACGTACCGATGTAGCTACCGTCAATGGCGGTCTTGGGGGTTCGGAAACCTAGACCGACATCCTTGTACCATCGTCGGCCAGCCTGCAGAGCGAAATTGTCAGTAAATGGCTTGTCGGCAATACAAATAGACGTCGGCGTCGTCTTACCTTGCCAGGTCTCGCAGACTTGGCCTTGGTCTTAGCGTTCTGGAAGATATGGGGTTGCTTCTGGAAAGCACGCTCCGACTGAACAGTCAATTCCGTGGCCATTTTTGCGATGTGTTGTCGAGGTCGCAAGGGTGGATGGGATCGGGAATCGTGATGTTGTTGTTGGTGGTTGCAGTGTTGCGAAAATTGGCCGAAAGATTGGGAAAATGGAAAAATGTCAAAACTTTAGTTGTGTGGGCTCTTTCTCGCTTGTGGGCGGCGGGATTCTCCACTCCGAGGTTGAGCCCGTTGTGGCAGTGTAAGTGGTTGTAGATGTGGCTTTTACTATGTAAATGGTCCAAGCTTCAATTAAGTGGCGGATGAGAGAGATAACACAAACACGTTCATTGATAAGGTACGTACCTTCATTGCTAGGTCGTACTGCCCCACGTAGAATTCAA